GAGAGAGAGAGAGAGAGAGAGAGAGAGAGAGAGAGAGAGAGAGAGAGAAGGAAAAACGAGAGCACTGTAAGTTTGATCTTGAGCAGATTAAACCTATCTTCATTCTTTCCTTTTTTGCTACGCGTGTTAATCTTAAAATCACAGGAAACACAATCGCAATAAAATGCGTCTAGAATCAATTGCGTCCTGAGAGAGGGATTAGTATCCATTATTCCGCAAAAATTCAATTTGCGAACTCGTAAAGCTTGTTCATACGCGGAAAAATGCAAGTTTTGCGGAATTTCGGTCGAATACATATGACTAGAAATATGTGGCGATTATCATCATCTCTTCAACAGCAAACGTGTCAGACAATTATAGTTATGTTATGAGCATCTCGTTCCGTCGAACATACCAGATTTAAATCAGATAGTCAACCTCTTTCAGTCTGCTTGGCCTCTGGCAAATTGAGTTAGAATCGTTCACGTTTTACATGCGTGAATTCAATTTAAAAAAATACCCAGAATGTTTTTCTCTAACTTTTCTTCGATATTTGCTAATAAATAGAAGAGGATACTTCGACTATTTGTTTGTGAAAGACATAAGGTACGTGATTCAAATCGAATTCGCTTTTAAGCCGAGAAGAGCGAAAGAGAAAGGGGAAGCTCGCGAGCCCGAGTCGATCTCCTATTCGAGCTTTTGAGTTACAACTACAACGAGGGTAGATCGCGAGGCTCGAAGATCGATGGACACGGGAGGATCGATGGTGTTCGCGTTGGTGCCCGTCATCCCCGTGCGATCGCGTGACCCTTTCTCCTGCTACGATCCACAGTCCCGCGTGCATGCGCTCTGTATCGAATTCCTGAAAGTGGAACGTTGCGATTTGTGATTTACGCGATCAACCGCGATCGCGATCTCGTCGTACGTTCAGTCCATCATCATCATTATCATTATCATCATCATCATCATCGGTGTCGTAATGGCTCGTATGCAATGGCGAGCGCGATTACATGGCCCCGTTGCGCCTTCGTGTGGAAGAGCGAATCACTGAACAAGCTCCCGGCTTCCGTGTGAGCAATCTGACGCGACCAGAAAGCTCGTCGTCCACCCGTAAGGATGGAGATACCCTCTTGCGAGGGATTAGCTTCGTCAGCCATTCGTCCGCTCGGGCGATTCCTCGCCTCGATGAGGATGCTTTCCGACGAGGAGGGTGTTACGAACCCTTACCGAACGGTTCGGCCGATCGTGGCTTTGATGAAGAGGCTTGATTTTAGAGGTCTTGGTCCGCGCTCCCGACGTTTCTGGACCATCACGATCATGATTACGTCGCTCCTCGCCCAGTGCTCGGGCTAGGCTAGAGCGGGCTGCTGCTATTCATTCTGGCTACCCTCCGGTAAATCTCGCTGTTGACAAAACGCGGATACGAGTCCCGGTGCATGAGGGTATAGATTTGCAGCTGCGCCTCGTCGAAGGTATGCGGCGTAGGCTTTAACATGCCCTTATTCACATTGTCCCGCACTCGCGAGTCCAAACTCACCTGCAAATACAAATGTGATAAAGGAAACGGATTAATTGAAATTTGTGTCACATGTAGTTGTCAATTACATGTATATAAAATATTCTACGAAACTGCAACTCGTTATACCTCAATTTATAAGTCACTATTTGCATGCAATTTGCATTTATTTTCTATAAAATATCTTTTTATTCTACAATATTTTTCTTTCTTTCTCTTACAAAACAAAATAATATATAATAAAATTCACAAAGTTGTAAAATTTTATTTTTTTAACTGATTACATACGTATAATTTTTTAGAAACAGACAGATCCATGGCCTCGAAAATGAAGCTAATATATGTCTTAATCGCACTTTCGCAACAATTTTTTTTCATCACAAAGAATGGCGAAGCACCGATATATTCATAGTTATAAACAATGATAAAAAAACTTTCCGAGAATTATAGACCATAATATGTGTACGACGTACTTTTAACACGATCTTTTTTATATTATCTTGTAAAATGATCTAGGTGATTGTAATAATGTATAGACGTGCACCGTACAATTATGCCGTAATGTTCGAATGGCAAAAGAAGGTTCGTGCATTCGCCCCGTTTGGGTGAATAAGTCGTTAAAGAGGTCACTCGGTCACTAGGTTAGTCGGTTAATATGGAAGAAATCAGTCACGCGCATTCGCAGCTTTTCTCAAACAAAACATTATATTGCAAAAGTCTCCCTTCATTTCAAACTGTATTTAATTTTACTGTCGCGTTTTTCTAATTCTTGCACACTCGACTTTTTGCATCCGATAAAAAAATGGTGTAATTAAATAATACATCCAATAACGTTATCGATTCTATCATCAAAGCTAACAGCTCTGGAAGCTCTGGTAAGAATTATTTTATGTTATGTGTAAGTGCTTATGATGCATTGCATGGGCTATTCAAAATAGCAGATACTGATGCATGTATGTTGCGTATGCCATTATAAACTAAATACATAGTTACATTAGAAATTGCTTATTATTTCCAGGTTGACGCTATCTCTACTTCGGTACCAGAATGTATCATAACAATAGAGCACGTTTTTTCCGGAAAATAAAAACAATTCTTTTTAAATGTCGTATACTTTCAAACGTCAATAAAATGATTATATCTATACTTCGCAATTTTTAGAATTTTAATACATCTATATATAATTTTATTTGCACTGACTAATGTTATACATATGTCGCTATTTTATTCAAAAGTGATATATACTATTTTTTATTTTATGTTATTGTAAGCAAAATTTTATTTAAGTTATCTAATAATTACGATCAGAAATGAATAAAAATAAATTAAATTAATCAAAAAACTATAGAATGGCTTAATTGATAAATAAAATAAAAATAAATTAATCAATTTTTAAAAATATTTCACAATTGCTAAATAAATTTTTAAAAAACGTAAAAATATATAAAAAAATATAAAAACTTGTTTTGAAATAGAAGATAAGTTTGAGAAAAAATTAACAATAAATCGTAATCTTAATTAAAAGTTGCCATTAATTTCAATTATCGTCAGTAATTATATACTTTTTAATAATTACAAAAATATCTTATATCTTAATTTTTATAAAGGAATTAGAATTATACTACTTTATATAACTCTAGATGTAAATAATAGATTAATGATAATTTGCTGACTGTTTCAAGTTACGATTTTTTATCACAAGTAAGCTATTTTCTGCATGAACCAATGGAGAGTTTACTCACTTCCTTTGGCGAAAGTATGGATATGTAATCGTCATAAATGTAGCGCGCCTTCTCCTCGATCGTCTCGGGATTGTTTTCCCTCTTGAGCTGCTCGCAGGCAAGCCAGAAGGCGATGTTCTCCTCGCTGTACTCGCTCACGAGAAACTCTTTGAAGAGCTTGCGGCCAGCGGCACTCCTCATCAGTCTATCGAAGGACGAGCCCCAGGTCCGAACCTCCTCCAAGCTGCAGCGCTCCAAACCGCCGTCGAGGCCGTCGAGACCGTTACCCGCACCTGCACCCGCGATGTCGTTGCCGCCGACACCGACATTGCCCGTCGAATTACCACCGACTGTCGCCAAACTGAAACGGCAACGCACGTTAGAAGTTTAGAACTTGTAGACCTCTTGATATCATTAATAATCATTAATGTGTAAGATCGTGCAGGACAATTGAAACTATTAAATGAATAAGCTGATACGACGATTCCATGATTATAAACTATTTCATTCATGTTTAACTCGCGTTTGAAATAATGGCATTTATTTATAATTTATCATTATGTTATGTAAATTTTAGTTATTACTGTATAATCGAAAGAATAATTAAAAATAATAATTTATTGTATGTGTGTGTATCTTTTTGCGAAATTACTGTAATCTACTTCACGTTACAATTATAACAGGTGAGGCGTGGATTCGATCACGTCTATCGATCAGAAATTAATCACAGGTTATAATATCGATATTGATGTTGAAATTGATCGTATTGCGTTAATTATAACGATCATACGATAATATTACAGTGGTGATTTTTGTTGGCAAACATGAAGATGACGGAAGGAACGCAAACGCGAAAGTAATGATAGACAGCCGAGAATGAAGGGAGGCGGAAGAAAATGTGTGGAAAATGAATATTAAACTTGGTAGCCTTGGGAAATGAAGAGCTATAAAATGAGTGATGAAGGAAAGAGTATGATGATCCGACGGACACACACAAATATAGTAAAAAATGATAATGATTAACGATCGTCAGGATAGCTAATGTAATCGAGACTAAGGATAACGAGATACAAAGAGACGCGAACGAGCGGCATCGAACCGAGAGAAAATATTAGTCGTGTCGATAACAGGCATAGAATCGGGTCATTGGAAGGCCGATTCTTTGTGCTCGATGACGCGACTGTGGCGTTTGTGAACCACAACTGCGGAAATAAACAACGATTTTGAACAATTTACGGGATTTGGTCAGATGGCAAATCACGAAAATGATTGTTTCTGTATCAGTTGCTGTCTGATCGATCAAACTTGCATTTATTTAAAAAATTTTTTACTTAACTGAATAAGAAAATAAAATATATGATAATTTTATTCATATTTCTCGTATGTTCATTTATCATAAATTTTACAAAATCTTGCAAGAGTCTATTTAAAAAAAATGACTTCTCGCTCCGGTGAAGTGAATTACAATATTCACGAAATGTTGGCATTTAACAATCTATGAAAACACGGAGATGATTTGCAAATTACATAGTTTCTTTATTGTAAAAGAGTTTTTTTTTAATCAAATATTGCAAACAATTGTAAAATCAAATGGTCAGTTTTCGGCAGTGATTGCTAGTGATTTCTTTTAAATATATATCGTAATTATAACAACTATGTATAATACTTATAACTAATACAGCTATCGAAAACCGTAATTTTAGACACATTATTGCTTTTAAATTATATTGCTATTGTGAATGTGTTTGTTTTCGAGGGTTAATATTACATTGCACAAGATGAAGCAAATTTTATAATACCAAAATGAAGAAGTTACATGTCAAAACATGTTTTTTGAAAGATTTCTTCAGATTAATATGATGAAGCAGTTAAGAGTGTACCGTCGTATATTCTCGCGGTAGAAATTCAGGAAATGTCATTGCACCTCAGATAGACTCTTTCGGGTCGATGCCAGCCCAGAATGAGTAGGCTACTAGCGTATAATCTGCAAAGATGGCTCGCGTAGGAAGGACGCGTGGTATGTGCATAACCCCGTTTCTATGAGCCGTAATACGTGCATTACGATAGCATCATCATCGACATAACAAACAAGCAGCATTAACGCACACAGTCCGTGGCCTGCTTACCATTTATTCCTACTTGTGGCATGAAACACAGAAAGGCAATATGTAGGTATGTCTGCACAGCAATAAATGGATCACACGCGAGAGTTTAAAGACAATGGACCGATATCGTTTCAATGGCGAGAGGTTCAGTAGATGAAATAAGCACGAAAATACCCGCGCGATAACGATAATAACGCGTAGCTCGTTTTCATCTAGGCTTACGTTTGCGATTGCAATGAAAGCTCTTTGTGCTGACTTTTCAGTAACTCGTTATTGCGAGTACGTAATTATAGAACGAGAGATTGGGAGTCACTTCGTGCAATTCAGAAATCTATTCTTCATTAACGATTTGTCCATTGTCGTATAAATTGAGAGTATTGTTCTTCATAATTTAATAAAACATTTCGTACATCGGTGCGCTATACGCTTCAAGAGTTAAATCAATGACGGCGTTCGGTAGAAAAAGCAGCTTTGTAACTGTTGTAAGATTCTTTAATATGATTGGTTCTTGCACTTAGTTCCTCAATGGATCTAAATGTATAAACTAATCATATTAAAGAATCTTACAACAATTGCAAACAGTTACAACAGCTGCTTTTCGTGCTGAATGTAACACGTCATTATGAAAGAAAACAACTCAACAAGAGATAGATAGATTTTTAAATAAAAATCTAAGAGATATGATAAAATTTTATCTGATTAATAAAAAAATTATTGTAATTTTCTATCTTATAAATAAGCCATTACTAAAAATATTAGATTAACGTTATAAAGAAGCGATTGAAAGATGTCGAATCGCTCGGTTTTTTTTAAGATCAGTCACATCGATGTACGAGATATCGAGTCGGACAAGATCGATAATACCACGAGCAACTGCAGCAACAGCACCAGCATAGGCAACAGTTGTCCTTCTTCGATCGACCCGTGAATTCGGCCGCCTGACGTTGCTGTTGCTGCGCTTGCTGCTGCGGCGCGGGCGCCTGTTGCTGCTGCTGCTGCGGCTGCTGTTGTTGCTGCTGCTGCGGCGGCTGCTGTTGCGGATTATGTTGCATCGTGGACCCCGAGGCCTGGCCTTGGTTCTGTGCACGGAGGCGGCAACTACCAGCTACACCTTCGCCGCCTGTCCCGTGACTAACGCCCATTCCCATTGCAGTTGCACCGAGTCCACTCGACATCTGGAAGCGACATCCGCCCTCTGAATCCGCATACCACGTGCGAACGAGCTTATCCCGGTGCTAAGAATAGTTCTACTAAATCAGTGGTTTCCGGAACACAATGAACCACTTGTAGGCTTTGTGATTTGTTTACGCAAGGTGATTGACATTAAATTTTTTTAGAAACATGTTCTAATATAGACTATATGAAGTTATTTAATATTAGTATTGTGTGCACATTTAATACACATATTTATACAGTATAATTTAATTGATATGATAATCTAATTGCCTATGCAAAAGAAATAATAATTTTTTAACTATCAATATGTATAATTTATCATTAAGATATAGATATTTTTATTGTGCAAGACGGAGGAAATCGTAAAAATTGCGAAAAAAATTCAGATTAATTTTGAGAGGCATACAGATTCGTTAAATATACGCCAAAAGTATATTTCAATTAAGCATTTAGTACGAAAAAATCCATGATTATTAATTCCTATATTTAAAAAAAAAAAAATAATAAATCCTAAGAAGAGAACAGGACAATTTACTCACGTGGCAATACGATAAAGTTAATCTTTAGTCAAAACAAACTAATGCGATAATTGACACATAAGCTTTCAAAAAGCAACCAATTAGTTCGGATACGATTGTCGTACGCTCAGCTGCACGTATCGATTGGCTTGTATTTTCAGCGCGATCCGGCGATGGCGATATCGAAGTGAGAGATGTAGCCGGAGATTTATTATTCTTCCGTTCGCTGTTCCGTTCGAGGTCTTTGGTATTTAAAATTCATGATCGCCAGACGGCTGAGCTGACCGATATTGAATTCCCGGAGAAAGTCTAAGGAGAGGATTAAACCCTTAATACCATATTTAAGAATGCTATCTCAATTCAAAATCAGTATATTTCCGATCGTTTTTTAATAAGTTTAGACGTTTCTCAATTTGTAGTTTTACTCATAATTGGTTTTAGAATAAATCATTCTATTTTTTAAATAACGCAAAAGAAAACATTATATAACGACAAGTATGAACGAGGAAACCACTAATATTTTATTGTACTGATGAAAAAAGTCAAAAGTATTTTAAAATAAAATATCGTTATAAAGATCAGCTTTGATGCAGTTCGCATACAGTTTGGCATTTTCTTTGTATCTTTTCCTATTCCGTTAAACAAAAGAAAGGAACAAACGAATAAAATTCTGAGCGCATGAATTTATTCCAGCGTTCAAACCTCTCGCGAAAATATATTCAATGTAGCTCTTGCTTATTCTCTCTCGCAATATAAAAGAGATTCGCGGAATGAAGTTTGGATATATATTTGCACATGCACGTAGCCGCGTGCGGCCCTTTATTTTTACACCGTGTTGTATATCGATGACCCGCTCTCTGATGCGGCCTCGCGCGATAACGACTACATCGGACAGTCGCTTATAGGGGATGTGGGAAGAGGTTGATAAACAGCGGGCACTGGCGTAAAGTGTATACACGTGTATTCGCGAATAAACGTGGTGGCGCATACGAATGAGCCACGTGAAGATGAGAGAAGGAGAGAGAAAAAGAGGAGAAAAAGAGAAAGAAAGACGGATGTGGAAACAATTGGGAAAGGAAATTGAAATTGGACAATCCATAGAGATTGTGGGAAGGAGACCGTTGTTTAATCGTTTATAGTGCGATATAAATCGGACGCGGATTTACGCGAGCGCGGCGATTTAGAGTGGTCAGGAAATAGAAGCCGGAAATCGAAAAGACCATGCGCAAAACCGCGTTTCGAGCGGCTGGCTCGTAAAACACACCATGCGGTTTATACACGAGGCGAATTCCGTATTCGTATCTCGCGGGGGTCGTCTTTCCGAAAATGAGACTTCGGTTACGAGATAATATAACGATGTAAATTTCAATAATCTCTCGGCGATTTGTTTTGGCAGGCATTATGGAAACAAAAGCTGTTGTTTACGGAGAACGCTGCGAAATTTAGGAAACACTTTGGTACTAGGTGATTAATTATGAACTATGGATTTTGCATAAGTTAGTTCCAAGATAGCTGTGTACATATAGCTTGGATATAATGTCTCATATTACCAAGCCACATATATCTGCAAACCTTACGATACTTTTGCTTTTACAATAAAATATAATATTAAATAAAAATAATTAAATAAAAATAGCATTGTTAATTAATCCATATTGATTTTATAATGCTTGCTAAAGAGATTAAATCCTTGATAATTAATAATTAATTAATTAATTTGATAATTAATAATGCAAATGATAAATAAATCATTTGCGTTCATTAATTATTATCGGGTCATTTTCAATAGAGTTATTAATAAACGGAGTAGCACTTCTATAGGAGTGTATATTTTGGCATGGAAGTTGATTGATATTTTTAATATAATTTTGAATATTAGTTTCTTGTCGTCGTATTTTCAGATGCAAATACTGTCACTGTATTTACAACGGTTCTGAAACGGCGATAGTGTTTACGCATAGCTGCGTGTCAACATGTCAATGGCCCAATGGTGTGTTGGTTACATGCAGCACGCAATCACGGAGCACGTGCAAGCTGCAACCCCCGTTTCTCTTCTCGCAAGCTTCGTCCGATTATCCCGTGAATTTATTTCGATCTGGAGAAGTATATCCATATACATATATATGTATATATACATATATAGGTATATATATATAAATTTGTTACGTGACTTATTATGAATTTCTACGTGAACATTGAACGAATAGCACACAAGCTATAGATATTTCGAGCAAGATTCTAACCAATGATAATAGAGTCCTTGTTTATGTTATTACAGTATACTATTCCAGAATTAATTTGCAATAATTCAATTCTGTACTGGGATAATTTAAGCACGGTTGAATGCAATCGGTTTTCAATATTCAATCCAACCACATTGTTTATTTGCACGTTATTAAATTAGAAGAGAGAGAAAGAGAGAGAGAGAGAGAGAGAGAGAGGGGGGTTTGTAAACTCCGAAAATATGACCGTTAATTAAGTTAGAAATATACATAGAAATTTTTATATTGTTATAGTTTTTTAAACTTTCTGTATACAGAATTAACTATTCATAATGTATACACATTTATATGAGGAATATCGCTGTATTTCATGTCGTAAATCAAATCATTGGCTAAACACCCTTTGGGGAAGAGATCAGCGCGACTCCATTACTGTTCCGTGCTGAGTCTTTAATCCTTTCTTAAGACAGACGTAACGATTACGCGTCCACTTGATTCTTACCTCTATCATGTTCCATGCGTCCGAAAGCGAGCGCAGCTCGCTTTCCACGTCTTCAGGATCAACTTAATCGGCGCGTGACCGGCGCGACGCCGAGATGCGGGGGTGCGGGTGCGGGCACGGCCGCGGGTGCACCGTGCCCGCGTTCGCGAGTGTCCCTTCCGATATGCGGTCGTTCCTTTAGCCCGGTCCTCCCGCGGAGCCGCCTCGCCGGGCCTCGCCCGAAACCCGCATGCTCCCAGCACGCACCAGTGCCCTTCAGTCGAAATCGCGTAACAGCCCAGCGTACGAACCCTTCACGGACTCGCGGACGGACACATAGGTACGCGCACCACCAAGCGATCAGCCGTCAAACGGTTTCCTCGCCTCGAGATCGGGCGAGGCGTTACTACGCCGACGATGATGGCGACGTCGCGCGACGACACTGAACAACGGCGGACCCCAACAAGCGGAGGGTTATGTCGTCGATATCGCGCATGATATTTTATCCATTTCCCACCGTCTTCCGCTTTCTGCTGCTGCCGATTGTCCGTCGTTTTTCTCTCGACAATTCTCTTCGTTAATACCACTCGCGCCACGATACCACTCCACCACCACCGTCACCCTCTCGCGGCACCCTCCACCCTTCTCTCTTAACGGGACAGCCGCGCGCGCGGATCGACTGGTCGGTCGGCCGAGTCGGAAAGGTAGGAGAGAAAGGGAGAGAGAAATACAGAGAGAGAGAGAGAGAGAGAGAGAGAGAGAGAGAGAGAGAGAGAGA